TGGGGGGGGGGAGAGAGGAAAATCATAATTTTATTTATGTTATTCACACGCATGCCGCGTAGCATTACACCTAATTATATCGCAATTCGTAAGTATACGTTTTGTTTGGCCGTCGCTTCTGCTTCTAGTGTATACTTTTGAGACCACGCGCGCTCCTCTACCTTTCTGCCACAACTTATAAATATAAACACCAAACACGCTAATATAAATACACACATAGTCTGTGAAGTTTGTCATATCAAATACCTCAGAAAAAATGCCACCCAAAAAATTCGTAATCGTTTCCCGCGTACGATTAGTATCATGTGAAAGTAATGTGGCCTGTACAAATCATAAAATATAATATTTGTGTTGATCTTGATTCCATTGCAATATAATGTTAAGAGTTAAGTATGACTATAGCTAGTGCTTGATCTTTAATGCTCTAAAAATGTAAAGTATAATATGCATTTATGCGTTATGCACTTAAAATAACAAATATGTGAATAAGTATTAATAAAAAATAATAATTTGATTAATACCCTATGAATGAAAATAAATTTGAAAAAAGTTTTATTTGTATAACTTTATACCTTTTTATTGATTAAACATTTTTAAGCTTATACCTATAACTTGATAATTATTATTCATGCTTTTATTAACTTAAATTAATTTGCAGTAGATACCTAAGTAATTAATTTCATAAACATATGTTCTAAAAKTTTTTWAAATTTAAAAATGCGCACTACAAACTTTTAATATTTTATTCGTATTCATGAAATTAATCTATAGCTTACCTAGTAATAAATCAAACGTTCTAAAAAAAAACCACACAAATTCAGCAAATTATAAGCACTATAGTGTTTATGACCATGATTTAATTGTCCTGCCGAGAATATATCACGATCACATTTATATTTACGTTGAATATTGATTATTTTATAATTTACACATAATATATAATATTATATATTGGCTATTGGTATTTATGTATATAATAAACAATATAAATTATATATATATAGCCATATAGGGAGCGAGAGAGAGAGAGAGAGAGATGGCGCCAAATTAAATATATTATTATGTTCAAATRTCGATTAAGTATCGTAACTAGTAACTACCATCAATAAATTATTATAATCATTTAACTCACGAGAATACCCATGAGAATGTAATATTTTCTAATGCGGCATCATAATAGATAATTATAATTATGTTATTATTTCAAATGGTTAACCATAATAAATCTAAAAAGTATAGTTTAGAGATTAGAGTTGTATACTTTTATTTACACGTTGTTTTGCACTGATGGTACACACGTGCTATTTGAACTATAATCGTAATAAAATATACTATTTAATAACCAATGGTCTTGTACTCCAAACTTTTCTATATAACCATAAGGTATAATATAGGTACATAATACAATTAATACATATATGATATATATATATATATATATATAATAATAAACTTTATAATGCAATCGCCAATCGGAGTCAGACACATCATCTGAGCATAACCTAGATAATATTATACCTACTATCACCTTTAAAAAAGTTGTTGTTAGTTCCATAATGTCATGCATATTATATACTACATGGTTTAGTATCGGAAATAATGCTAAATCAATTGATGTATACTATTAGGTAATTAATGACTTTCTTGATAATGGTGATGCATCAAAATCAATATTCCAACGAGTAGGCTTTGAGATATTTAACTTTGTGTACTTAGGTCACTTAGGATAATTATAACTTTATAAGTCTACTGTAAATTGTAATAGYCGCAGGTATATGTATTATAACTATTATATGGGCTATGATTTTTTTGAAAAATACTATAATAAATATTAATCTATGAACATTAATTCATTATTAGTAAAACCTTTCTAACTTAAATTACCTAGAACTAGATTAAATAGGTATTTCATATTATTGTAAAATATTTTTTTAAGAACAACTAATTATTCTTAAAGCATACATTTTTTTTTTTTTTTGTCATATTTAATTTGTACAACCTGTAAGATGGAAGGATACATAATAGGTCATGATTGGCTTGATTAAAGAAGCTATTCAATAATAGCATACTTCATAGCGGGATAGTAGTGGACTATAGTTAACTAGCAGGTCACGGCACCAATAACAACACTTTAAACAGTTTAAATGTCGGTTAGGGTCATCAGAGATTGTTCGAGGAAAGAGATTTTGGATGAGAGGGTTTCACTGATTGGAAAGTTTAAGGTGGAAACCTTTGTATAGAGTTTTAGCGACTTTTTAACTGTCGGAATGAGGAGGTCCCTGTGGAAGATATCATTCGATACATATGGAGGCATGAATGAAATGTTTGGATTCGGCTTATATTAAAGTCTTTGGTTGATCACCAGAGTTGAATTCCWTAGGCGAGGAACAAACAACTCCACAATGATACGGGCCTACCATATCTTTCTGCATGGATAACGCAACAATTTAAAAATGTTCACGAAAAACTTCACAAAGCTGACGGAGCACTCCACTATAAAATCGGCAGAAGATCCGTCAACTTAAGATTAAATTAAAAACCACGGCTACCACAAGATATACTACTTGAACCCAAAGAAGACACCTCAGATTCAAATACGGATCTGGACATACAATTAACCAAAAATTGTAAACACATAATCAAAATTGTAAATTTATGACATTGTAAAAATACTCGGTGTATTGACACATTTAAATTAATAAAAAAAAAAGAATTCCATAGGGCCAGATAGGTTATTAATTTATTATGGTGATAAGAATGGTGGTGGGTTAGTCTGATGTGAACAGGTTGAACAAGAGAGGTGCCGATACAGCTCCTTGCGGTACTCCAGCTCTAATTAATGATATGTCAGATAAAGTTGAACCATATATCGCACGGAGAAATACAAAACAGACGTTTAAATAGATAAAAAAAACTATTCGTTAAAATTAAAATTTTGTTTTAAATACATCAACATGACAACATATCTGAACTCTGAAGAAACCACATTCTTAAAAATGTACAGTTAACATGTATAGATAAACATAGTAGTCTAGTTAAGTAACTAGTCTAGTAAGGTTTGGATCACCACGCTCCTTAAATGGTAAAAAAATCGAAGTAATTGAAAGTATAGGCCTCAAGTGTACATACGTACAAATACAAAACTCAGAAATTTGAGTCGAAAAAATAAAGTGAGCATGCTTGGTGAGTCACTGTGTATACAAAAATATTATGCTTAACAGCCGTTTGTAAAATCCAAGTTTGATTTATAAGTTATAACTTATAACCTATATCAAATTAATCAATTTCATCTCTATAAAAATATAAAGGACAGTGTTAATTATTTGAGAATATGTTTAACTAGGTAGTTATAATATAATATAATCTAATTCTGACGTAAGTATAAAAAAATAAAACACATATAATTGCAGTATTGCACTGCAAATTCTGGGTCAATAGCCTTCGACCCTGAATGTTTAGTTTTTCGTTACGTGTGACGTGTCTATTACCTTTGTGAGTGTAAGTAAATACTAAGAACATATATTTAATAAATACTACCCAATAACAATATAAATATAGGTACATTATTATATGTACGTTTGTAAATAATTGTTTATTCAAGCGGGCATTGTAGCTAAGTCTACTAAAAATTACCAAATATATTCAACTTAACCGAAAGTAACATTCCTAAAAAAGACGGCTGGTGTATCAAATTACACCGTCGCGTCCTATCCATTATATATTTTACCGTCAACGGCAATTAAGTGACGGACGATGTTATTGTTTTCAAGTCACATAGCCAAAATTAGTCGTCTATTATTGTTGAAGGAGCAGATAATAAAAACAATATTATAACGAATCATTTGTAGGATGTTCTTGAGAAAAATGTGTGCGTATATTAGATACGTAGACAATGTCTAAATCAACCTGCAAAGTGCATACC